AGGTCAACTCGGCCACAAGTCAAATGTAAATATTACTCAGTTTTTGCATCCTTTTTCTTCAATATGATTGAAATGAAGTACACAGTATATTTTAGTAAAATTTTGATTATCGTCGTGAGATCATTGTACGGTATTCACTTCTTCACACTGTACTCTTATTCAGCAGAGAAAACCTGCCACTTACAGAATGGAATAAAATCTAAAAATAATGTAACATTAACAATTTAAGCAATCTTAATAATTAAGAAAAACACATACATTAATGTTTAATTTTTTTCACGTTAAAACACTGACATAAAACATGAGTACATACTGTTGACCTAATCATAAAAAATTAAAATAGAAAAACCACATTATGATTTTTTAAATGTTAAAAATTTATTTTGAATCCGACTAAAATCAAATGAATGCACGATGGCGTGCATTTTGTATACTATTTTCTTTAGAACTACGCCCAAGAATTAGGCCTACGTTAAAATTAGGTGGGGCGCATAGCATCTAGTATCAATTATTCACAATAGGAACAATTGGTATTATTGAGTGACAGACATTTCACTTCAGTCCTTCATATTTGTTCGTCAGTGACACTTCCTTTTTAAATATTTACAACAACAATATTAAAGTAATATTTATTTTAACAATACTAATAGTAATAATACTAATATGGTAGTAATAATTTAAATATTTTGATAATACTAATTAGTGATAATAACAATATTGAAGGTGATAATAGCAATAACAGCAATAATAAATTAAAGATAATTTTTATTTTTATAATAATAGTAATACTAATTAGTAATAATAATAATGATGATATTTATAATACTAGGCCTACTTAGTAATAATAGGGTAATAATATCGATAATAAAGGTGTCAACAACAACAACAACAACAACAATAATAATAATATGAGAAAAATACCAATAAAACACCAATAACAATATTTTAAAAATTACTATTAAAATAATAATACCAAAAACTAATATATAATAATAATAATATGAATAAAAAAAAACGATTATCGAGAATTATTTATTATTTATATGGTAATAATAAATAGCAAAAATTTTAACAATACATAATGTTGATGCTAAGACTAATAATTAATATTAAAACTAATGGTAATAAAAACAACAATAATAATAACAATGACAACAGTAATAACAGCAATAATAATAACAATATTAGTATAGTAATACTTAAAGAATTAGTATTTTATACTTGATGAATTACAGTACTCCTTCCAGTATGTAAATGACTTGTGGCCGAGTTGACTGTTAGCCAAACTTTTTGTGGCCGAGTTGACTTGTGGCCGAGTTGACTTGTGGCCGAGTTGGATCGAATTCCTCGGCCGCAAGTCAACTCGGTCCCAAGAAGAAGCCCCAATTCTTACGAAAAATTTGAATGCTGAACTAGAGCCTAGGCCTATATCAAAATGAATGTGTTTCAAATTTGTTGCCTTTGATTTTGTTTTTATTTATTGTAGGTCTAGGGCCTACATTCTACAACTGCATTAATTATAAATATTGAAATATTAAATAACAATATAAAAAGGAATAAATACAGTATAATGATAATAAAAATATAATGAAAATAATGACATTATAGTGATGACAGTATACTATACTATGATTTATTATAGGCATATTAAATATAAATTATGTGTATGGTATACTGTATATATTTAAATATACCTAAGGATAGGTCAAAATATTGGTTTTATCCAATAGGGTGTTTCTGAATTCCATTCGTTTCTCGTTATTTTAAATTTATATATAAAAGATGGTAATTAATGTATATTTAATACTGTGTATCTAAAATCATTAGTTTAATTATATCTAGCGACTTTCGTTGGAGTAGGCATGTTATGTGGTTATGCTTTTTCACAGGCTTCTAAGATGCTTGGGTTTGTCAATTAGTTGGAAGGGTACATGGTAACAATGCATACAAAAAGTTGTACTGCACCTGGTTCTCTGTCGGCTGGTGTCCCTTCGTTGCCTTATCAGCGTGGCCATTTACTTTAACATCTTTGGAGAGGGTACTGTACAACACAGATTCACCAGATCCTTTATTCAGACAGACTCAAGCATTACATCTTAAGATACAGTTAAACTTGCCTAAGTTGACTTCGCCTAACTCAAACAATTTCTAAGTCGACCTTATTTCACATGCCAAATTGTTGTGTTTTCCATTAATTATCAATCAAGTCGAACAATTTTTCAATGACATTTTGGATTCGACTTAGGCAAGTTCAACTGTATTTCATCTTTTTATTCTCGCATTATGTTTTTACATCTTATGTTTATTGTTAAAGGTCTTTTCAATCATCTTGATGTTAAATTGAACATCAAAAGTTGAATGAACAGTTTTCCCGAAATACAGTAGTGTATACTGTATAAGTACTCGCCATATGCTGTATTCCCTTTAAAGAACTTTCCAAATCTCTTTAAGATAATATTAGATCCACTTTGGTAATTTGGTAGCGTCTTAAGATTACAGTTGTATTTATTTGTTACATTTTTATTGAGCTTGCTCATATTATGTTATGTGTGGATTTTTTACAATCCAAAGATGGCAGTTTTCCACTTTTATATTTATGTTCATCCAAAAATAAAATTTGAATTGAATTCAGTGTGTTCTGTTGCAGTATGTACAATACTATAAGCCTATTATTAGATAGCACTACTTATTAGCAATACTGCACTTTATTTCAATTATCTGTTTCAGGAGGAAACCAGAGAGATCTGGCTAGGGCTAAAAATCAGAAGAAACAACAAGATTTGGCCAAGAAGAAAGGTAGCAACAAAGATGGTATGAGCGTGGAGAATCGGAAACACAGGTATAGCAAGACTTTTATTACATGATCATTATATTATATTTTAAAAATAATTTTAAAAATAATCAATGCAAATAATTATTATCATCCTCATAATGGGGAAAAGGTTTTTCTCATGATCATGTAAAAAATATAGTTCAAGAGAATATAATTTTGTCTTTAATAGGGATGCAGAAATGATGCGAGAAAAGCAAAAGAAGGCTGCAGAGAAGACAGAGAAAAAGTAAATATGAACGAATGAGATGAATAGAATCGATTTACTGTGGAAACGAAAATGAAATAAGCAAGAAAAAGAACAAAATTAATTATTTTCCAGACTTACGGTGTTATGGACATATATGGATATAATGTAGATGAAGATATTTTTAAAAATGCATGCAAAGTTCATTAATGATGTTGGTTATGAAATTTCCAAAAATGATTTAGGATCTTAATATTTCTTCTTTTTTTTTGGTTGATTTAAAACTTGAAAAAATTCTGTTTGGATCACAAATAATCAGCTTGGTTATATACTAGGGAGGAATATAATAAAGTGAATTTTAATGGTTTAAGGTGTTTAATAACAGGGCTGGACATAAGATTTGTGGGTTTTAGGGATTCTACAAATTGGGTCCCTGAGCCCCCCTGAAACTCAGATCCAACAAAGATTCAGAAACTTTAAATTGATGCAGTCTTTACCTGGTGTTTTGAGTCCATATTTTTTCCATCTTTTTCTATGTTAAGGGTATGAGCTGGGGTAGTGTTTTCCCCACTCCTCTCAGCTAGCAGTATTTACATCCTCTTCTATGTTTATACTTTTTGCACCTATTATTTATATTTTTATTCTGTTTTATTGTAGGCCTACTGTACAACCTTTACTTGTAATGTACTCTAATTTCAGTTTTCCTCAATAATGATTGAAACTTTTGGGTATCCAATTTTTATGTAAAGAATATTAAAACTGCAAACTTTTTACAAGAACTGTTGAGGGAATTGGGACTATGACATTCATATACTGTATGTGGCAAAGACAAGCCAAACCAGTCACTCGTCGCAAATTGTGTTTCAGAGGTAATGGCCAAAACATGCTGGAATGTCAAAATTTTTGAAATTTATTTTATAGCATTAAACTAACCTTTTTATATCTATACATCATGCTATGTGGCTATTTTTCCCATTTTCAATGTTAAAACAATTTTTAACTACAGTATTTGGTGATGGTTTCTGCTGTAGAAATGCCTAAATCGTAAACATTGAGGGCTGATTTATCAAATATTTTTCTTAAGCAGCTGTGTGTTTAAAGTCCTTTAACTTCATAACAAAATGTTGGATTTAATTGATTCTTTTTCCATTTTATAGCTTTCATTTTTCTGCTTAACCCTGTATTAATAACTAAAAATTGATTTTTGCGAGGAGTGATTGATTTGGCTTGTCTTTGCCACATATCTACCCTTTATTACAAAACGCTGTGGCAATAGTAACAGGGTTTCCATGTTAGGAGAACCAATTTCTGAAGACATGGTCTAATGAGCTTTTCAGATCTAACTGTACGTTATTTTTGGCTGGGTTTGGCGATACCCACGGCCAGCAGACATCAGGGAGCCAAGTACAATAGTAGAAAACATGCAAACATCATGAATTTGTGGGAGATTCTTGATTGTTCATGTAAATGCAAGAGATTGTTCCTGTTTCTAGGAGACTCCCACAACTTGTGGGAAACTGGGACGCCTGTATATTAAGTCACTGATGAATATAAGATAGTCATGTACAACTAACTGAATCATATGTACAGTATGTCAATTGCCATAGCTTTGTAATAAATGCTGAAATAATATACCATATTATAGTTGTTTATAGTGTTTGTATGTATAGTATATACGAGGGTCTCACCACAAAATGAATCTCATGGTTTGAAAATAAAAAAATTAGTTGATATTATATGTGGGTAGTAGATCACATTATAAGCTTTAATTTGGTCTTTGAATGGCTTCCCTGGGATAAGTAGATCCAGAGATGATGAGAAACAAGTTTTGGGAAAATCAGCTCCAAAGATAAACTAACCCATACAAATAATAGGACTAGAATTACAGAACATGCATGGAGTACACTGTTTTGGTAAGAAAATTTACTTTCAAAGTATACAATCATAAAATATAAGCATCAAATTATTAAAAAACATTAAATCCAAAATTTGACTTTGACCTATTTTGGTGAATATCTCAATATGACTTCACCAATAATGTGTCTCATTTTGTGGTGAGACATCACATTAGTTGCAATTTCCTCTTCTACTAATTGTGTTTGTTCAGTAAGCATGGGCATAGGCTGTAGGTGGGTTACAACAAAAAATGACTGGCATTAAGTCTTCATTGGAATAGGGATTTAGGCATATTCCCGTACAGTATTTTCAAATACCTATGTCTTGATGAGTGTGGGTAATCATAGACTGATAATATCTGAAAACTCACTCGAGACATTTTAATATTGCCTCCAATGAGGCACACATGAAAAGAATTCAGTTGCCAACTTGTAGACTTCATAAAAGGATCTACTGTACTGATCGAGACTTCTCTAATTCCGTGAATCCTCTAATTCAAGACCACTTTTTCTAAGAACCAAATAAGATTCTTCAATCTATTAAAACTAAAGTAACCCTCTATGTAAAACAGAACATCGAGAGCACCCCAAATTTTCTAACCCCAAAGTGGTTTGCAAATTGGAGGATGAACTGTACAGTATTACAAAGAATTATTATAAAAGATGTTGACTTGCGCATTTGTTACTATATAGTGGGGAAATCAATATTTGGATACCACTTTTTATTTTTAAGGTACAATGGTGGATTCAATGGGGAACCCAGATCGCCTGCAAAAGGTTTTCAAAAACTATTGTAAAAATTGAGGAAAAAAAAACATATTAAAACTAAAGAGTGCCATTTCCAGTCATCTAGAGTTGCCATAATCATAGATTTTCTTTTCTAGACCCTACTTCTGTGAAAATCCCTGTCCTATGGATCCGCCATTGAAAATTAGACTGGAGAAATGGTGAATACAGTAATAAATGTTCCTTCCTACACAAACATTAAGCTATTAATAATCACACAAAAATACTCCTATGCAGCAAAATCAATTTTTTTAATTTTTTTTATTAAATCAATAATTTATAGTCGCTATGACACTGGTACAGTACATTATATTTTGTTATAGAGCAGCCGGCCAAGACAAACGTTAATGTATTACCAAAGATCTTATAAACACAAGATAGCGTTCTCTGTGATTTACGCGTGCAAATTCTGTAATAAGGCATGAATGGCGGCCTCTTGCTAAATTGGAAACTTTTGACCCTTGACCGCTCTGACCATACCGTCACCGCGCGACTTTTTACCTTGGGTATCAATCCTGTGAACAGCAGAACAGGAACCATCTCAGATCCATGGCAACAGATACGATGCCCTCTTCCAAAACCGATTACTTTTCTCTTTGGTATAATAGCGCATGAATGGCGCCCTCTTACTAAATTGGAAACTTTTGAACCTTGACAGACGCTTCTATTTGTTACGCGTAAATCGCAGAGAACGCTATTTTGTGTTTATAATATCTTTGGTATTACCAACAACTGCAGCAGTATTGGGCCAGTCTTGGGGAAGACCATCACGTACTCAATTCAGCACAATAACGCTGCACGTTATAGGTCGTTTTCTTGCAGTTACCTTTCAATTAATACTGTAATTATTATTAACATAAAACAACTTTTTTATTAGAGTGAATTTCTGATTTAATTCAATAGAGTTGATTACATACAGTATATCTTAATTTTGGAGTTTTTTGATAGATGATACCATCAACTGCTGTAAAAACTGGTCACAGCAAAAACAACTGCTCCTAAATCACAATGCATGAAAATGGTCATGGACTTTTCTAAGTTCTTCTGTTTTAACAGAGGTCCTTCAATGCAACAAGCAATGTAAGCCCTTTCTTCACACTTCATGCACTTGGCACTAGACTTGTAAGGATCTAACCACGTCTCAACAAGGTGCATATTTTGAGGATGATTACCATCTTACATTAAGCTTGGACAGTCAGTAATGAATCCTCCAGATTTTTTGTTGTAAAAAGTCAACCTAAAGTGGGCAGAAGGGAAACATTTCCTGGGTAGCATTACTGGAGCTTTCCTAGAAAGGATGGTTTCTTAACAGAAGTTTCACACACACTGAGAACCTTTAATTTCTTTTTAGTTCACTTTTAAAAATATAAAATTTGTTTGGTAATATTATTTTGTTACAAGGTTCATGTTGAAACAATTTGAAACATAAATACAATCACAGTACCATAGTGTCTACAAATAGAAAAGACAATTTCATTGACTGATCACCGTAAAACCTAGGCGACGTTTCGATGGGTTTCTTTTCAAGGCTACTTTTGCAAAGTAAAGAGGGGGCTTCTTATTTATTTTGTTTCTTTGAAATTCATGTTCAGTGTATGTACTGTACTATCTCGAAAAGAAGCTACCTGTATGCTATCTTGAAAAGAAGCACATGGGCTTCAATTATGATAGGCTTTTTTTTCTCAAGACTAAGCCTTTTTATGCTTCTATTCAAGGTTTTATGATATGTTCAAAATGGGCTAAGAATCATATCAAAAATAGGGGTGGGAAGTTATGTTCACCAGTGGTTCAATATTGCAAATCATTAAAACCTCAATGATCTATTTTATTGATTTTGGTGATGGATGGTGAAGTTCCCTACCAGCAGTCTGGGAAGCTTGTTAGGTTTCATCCTCGGAAGGTGCTTTACAGTTTGATGAGCTGTCCTGTGTTTGGTTGATGTTAACTTTTAACCGAGAATTTTTCATTTTCTTCATCTTCAACTTCTTTGGTGCTGGTGACCTGCTCTGCTTCTCACCATCTTTCAGACCCTAAAATCAATAAGCAAAATAGAAACTCAAAAAGGTACAATCAATCTCTTTAATGCATAGCACTGTTTCTTGTTCTCTGAGATCCAAACTTTAAATACATTTCATATGGTATTTAAATGTAACCATTACATCTTATGATTTATTATCATTTAGCGCCTTCAAAATGATTGCAATGACAGTAAGGTATTAATAAGGACTGATTGACTGATAGTATAAAAACAATTTTTCCAAATATAGTTTTAACAGATGGGAATTATTTCACAATTTTTAGGAGTTCATTTCAAAACAAACTCATGTTTGGATTTTCATTTTGTCGATCTCCAAGTATTCAAGTTTCATGTAATTATTTTGTAATTTTCATGTAATGTTTTACCTCTCTATTCTGGAGGTTATTGAAATTTTATTGACAATGATTATAAAAACTAGGATAATTAAACATGGTCATCATTGATAGATAGTTACCAGGTAATATCCTGTGTGGTAACCACTCATATACCAGGCAATCAGCATCGAATGCAAAGCATCATCATCTTCATCTGTCTCCACATTTGGTGGCCTAATAAGTGGTGGCGGAGGAGGTACAGGCGGAACCCTCTAAAGGAAAAAAAAAACATAATATTAGCAGACCTCTGGCTTTTTTTTATTAAATTAGCCATACTTTGACCTCTAGCTTCGGTCTGGCTACCACCACCACCCATATTATTTGGCCTCTCGATTCAACTTGGCTACACTACCCACACTCTGGCCTCTATATTCTGTCTCGCACACCACCCACACTTTGGCCTCCGGCATCTGTATGACACACAACCCACACTACGGCCTCTATCTTCTGTCCAGCACACCACCCACACTTTGGCCTCTAGATACTGACCTATAGCAAAGCAAAAGCCAAAGTAAAATTAAAGTATTAGTGAAGAAAAATATTAAAGTGAGGTTAATCCAGTTGAATCCCTTCATTGCAATGGAAAGTGAAAATGCTGAAGGAAATGCACATTTTGTTGGTTACATGAATGGAATATTAGAAGTAGAGTGGAGAAAAGAAAAGGCAGCAGAATTTGAAGCTGTTTATTTGCCATTTTCTGCAATGTACATAAAACAAGCAGGGATATTATATCAAAACTTACAGATGACATATTTTGAAATCCACTTGGTCGAGGAAAGTATGGCATAGGAACAGTGTATGGTGACACAGCAGGCTGAAATTCGAGTATACAATATTTTTCAATTAATTATGAAAATGAAATTAATAAATGAAAATGTAACTTATTAAAGAAAAAATGAGAAAAAAAACCCCTTTTTTTTATATCATTTTGTTATAACTGAGATTTTATACTCCTGGATAATGTTTGCAATTGTTCTAAAAATATTAATTATTAAAATGAAAATAATAAATAAAAGTGTAAATTAGCAAAGAAAATATAATGTTATAATTGTGATTTTATTCTCCTGTATACTGATTTGAACATCACTAAAAATATTACCATTAAAATAAAAAATATATAGTGAATTCTGTCATGTTTTTTTTGAGAAGTTTACTTTGGACAAAATGTACAATGAATACAGTAGAACCCTATTAAGGGGACTGTTTCGGAACCCAAAAAAATCTCCCCTTTCAGGGTGTTCTTTGGAAAAGCGAGTGTCGCAAAGGAGGGGGTTCCACTATATATTCATTGTATAAATTACACTGACTTACCATGGAATATGGTGGCATAAATTGCTGTGGTGGGTGCATAGGAGGCATCATCCAGGGGTTAGGATGCCAAGGTCCGTGGGGGCCTAGATATTCTGCAGGGTGTGCTGGGCTATACATATAGTCTGAAAACTCCATTGTACTTCCTGTTTCATTCTTAGAAGTCAAAAAAAAAAAAGAAACATTTATGAGATATAAAGTACATAAACATATATATAATTGATATCTATATAGTAAAATAAGGGAATCTGTGAGAATAAAAAAATGCTCCAACCATTGAAAAGAGCGATAGTGAATTACAGCTGTATTGAATTATGCCAGTGTTGCGTGTAGGGAAAATGTGTCATGTGGTGTCATCGTCCAATCCGATAAATACACTTTGTGAGGAAATTGGAGAAGGGAGTGGGGGGCAAGAGGAGTTGGTTTTTCTATGGGGATTGAACACAAGACCCTGGCATTAGAAAATAAGCGCCCTAATCACAAAGTAATCACAAAGACATTGTACATTGCTAATATTTGACTCACTTCCGAAATGTCATGTCTTGCTGGTCTGTTCTTAGACTGTGATGGCCTCAACTCAGACAATTCAACTTCCTCTTCATTACCATATTCTTTGAAGGTGACCCAGCATGACCCTCTGTCTTGGTCCACAGAGTTGATAATAGATTCATAGTATATTCCATCTACTGAGTATTTTGCTTGACAACAATCTCCTACATTCCACTGATAAATTTTTAATTGATCAAAATAATGTTAATTATACAGTATTAATAATAATCATGTACAGTAATGATAGAGATAATATTACTGTGATAACAATATTATGTTTAATTGATCATAATAATATTCAATAATATGTGTATTAATATTAATTTTTAAAAAATACTGTTCCAACATGCATGTCAGATTTTCTAATCAATTTGATGATGTTCTGGATTGCTTTTTTAAAAAATTATTTTTATTTTATTTCCATAACAAAAAACAGAGATAAAAACCTCCAATTAAAAGTTGACATCAAATAAATATATTATACAGATATAACACGCTAAAAGAAATTTAATAAAATAAATTTGTTATCTGTGACAGATAATTCAGCTATGATTAGTATGCATATTACAATTGATTTGATTCAACACTCTTATATCCATCAACAGGAACAGATGTAGGTTGGGGGGAGGGGGCTGGGCTGCCCCCCCCCCGCCCTTTTGGAAAGTTAAAAAAAAAAAAGGAAAAAGAGAAAGAAAGTAAAGAAAAAATTGATTGCCCAAAACGTGTCGGAGGTTATTTTCGGGCGTCTAGAACACACAAATTTCGCGGAAGCATGCCCCAGACTTCCAACAGGGGCGGATTTAGGGGGGGGCCGGCCCGGCCCCGGCCCCCCCTTTTGGGAGGTAAAAAAAGAAAAAAAAAAAGAAAAAAAAGAGAGAAAAAGAAAAAAATGATGGCCAAGAATACCTCAAATGTTATGTTCGGGCGTCTAGAACACAAAAATTTCGCGGGGGCATGCCCCCGGACCCCCTACGACAGTGTTGTCTCAATCGGCCCAACTTTCGGCCCCCCCTTTTGGACATTTCTGGATCCGCCCCTGTTCCAAGATGGTGTTATCTTAATCGGGGGACCCCTTTCGGACATCTCTGGATCCGCCCCTGATCAACTTAATAAAACATTCAATACTGTACAATTAATTCAAAAGTTATGAATGATGATATAGAAATAAAAACAAAATTTAAGTTTTATGATTTAGAATCTTGCTACAAAAAGTATTGACAAGAAGAATATTTTGTCAAATTAATTTTTGTAAACAATTAAATTTTTGTAAACAATTCAAATATTAATTCTTCTCAAAGTTATTCTAACTTAACCACAACAGCATAGCAAGCCTTAAAATTAACTTTGCATTTCTCATATAAACAATGAGGATCTGTAATTTTGTTCAGAATCCATTTTTAAGAAAGCATTTAAAAAATTTTTTTCTCTCTTTTTTCTAATTACAAAGATTCAGGTTTTACCTTTAATTTCTTCTTTTTATTCTTTTTTCTTCGTTTTTGATTATTTTTCTTAGGTTCCACACTTTCACCATCGGCGTTGAGATCTTTCTGAAAAGGAGACTATTATTTTATCATACCTGAAGTGAATTCTCTAGCAGTATATAAATACTCATTTTATATGCATGTGTGTTAATACACACATATTATATTGCACAATATTTAGTGAGGTGTGAGGAAGGTGGGCAAACTGTGCAGAAAGTGCACAGTTTGAAAAAAAAAAAAAAAAAAAAAACACAACACCCAAAAAAAGAATAAAAAAATGAGTTGTACTGTAAAAGGTTTTTGGTTGTAAAAGGACATTGGCAGTTAGCCAATTTCCAGAAACCTAAAGGGAAAATTTTCTTGGAGGCTCCTGGAGCACTTTGGATATAAACTTTTTTGTGCACGATACCCAGCCCCCTCAAAAGAACGTCCTCTCTTTTGCCCATGTCCAATAACATTGGAATGTTTAAAGTATTGTTAAGTGGTAGTGAACAGAACGATGCTTTTTGTAACAATGGACACTTCCAGGGTGTCAATCAACAAATTATTATTATTAAACTTCAGGCAGACACAAAATTCTGATAAGTTACATCCAGGTTTTACGAACAGAAATCATTTTTAAACATTCCCTTCCACTGGAATTTGTTTCTAGCTATTCCTTATGTTTATAAAAATCAAAATATTTTGAAATTTAAGGTCTCTTTCTTTCATATCAGATTTAATTTTTGAGAATAAAGTGAAAATCTTTATCCCTTTATGGCCTTTCAAGTTTATTGACTGATTGATGGCAAACACAAGTGCACAATGTGTGGGAGTGAGTTCATCATGTGCCCAAGCACTGACCACTTATATCAATACAGTTTGTCAATGGATCTGATTTTGTAACTGAATATAAACATGCTGCAGTTATATACAAGTATTGTATTATATAAAACAAATGACCAATCATAACAGGGCTGGAAATACACACTTGTCTCACAAACGTTTATGCTGTCATCTTTTGTAGCACCTTAGCAACATGATCCAAGGGGTGTTGCATAGCGGAACAGTCCATTATATGAAGAGAATTTTTCTATTTATTGATGTGTATCATTCAGTCTTTCTAAAAATACTCAATGTTTATTACACAGGTAAATAAACTTGCAAATTATATTCTACCTCTATTACTGAAATTTAAATTTAAATGGAGTCAAGATCTTTGTTACCATGTAACGCATAAATTAGCCATATTCACTATAATAATTGTGATATTATTATTGACTCGTGTATGCTTATACTTAAGCATAGGCTAAATACCGCATCAAAAGGTAATGATATATAAAACGCCTGCACAACGTACATCGTGATAATTTGATCTACTCTCTGCCCAGCGGGTCAGCGTATGTCCATGTAAAATTGACATTGAAATGTCATATTCAATGTTTCTGCTCAACGGGTCAGAACGGTATAGGCTAGGCCTATTAATTGTTATGTCTGTACATTCTGCCCAGCGGGTCAGCGTACTGTAACTACCCAAACCTTATGGGGGATTGGCATATAAGTCTAGACCTAGTTGCATTACTCATATTATATTAAAATAATTAGCCCTACACAAAAGGCTATTGGTAATGCCTAACCAGTGCCTATACATACCCTGCATCGGCAATGATCAAGATGGCGCACAATCTGCACAAACACCCCATGTGTGTGTTTTAGCCAAAACCTTGAAAATCTTCTAATACGTATGAGTATATGTTACCTCTATTAAAATGGTAACTGTATTTATTCTAGAATGTATCAAGGTTATCAAAAAAATTTAAACCCTACTTACCAAAGAAAAACCCTTCTCATCGGTAAGAGCAACAACCTGTCTTACACTAGGCGGTGTCATCCAATGAAGCACAACCTGCGGTTCTGGTGAGTTACAAGTTTATGAGATAGAATTCCAAATTGTATTCTTACCTTAACAGACTCAACAGCTTTGTCATAAGCCTTTATTAATGCTGTATCATCCCAAATATTTTCATGACTGCCCTGTAAAATAATTGTAAAATGCATTACTGTATATATAGTGGAATATTATATTCAATAAGACACTAATAATTAAGAATTAAGCAGAAAACCAGCTCCGATGGTTTCGGAAATTAAACATGAACTGAAAGACAGAGTAAAGATCCTTGCATAATTTATACAAGATATACAATAAACTACATGAATGAAATTCAAAATGACTTACAATAATTTTTTATACCAACCTAGGCAAAAAGCAATATTATTAAAAAAACTATAAAAAAAAAAAACACTTCACAAACACAAAGTCTCTAAACCTTCATGCACTACTTTTATACCACTTTACTCTCTGTTTTAACAGACAATTGGTGTCGGGCACTAATAAGAAACCAAAATTTTGTGGCCTGCAACAAAATCACTGATAGGTCGCACTTTGCCCACTTTTATGCTGTAAAGTATAGTATTTGCACGGAGTATATCTTAAAAAACGAACTCAAATTTCCACAGATAAATCTCTAGAAAACTAGGTGCGTAGAATATTAAGACAGGCCTAGGACAAGACCTAATTTTTTCCAAACATTGCATGGAAATCAACCATTAATTTTGAAATGCACCTACAGAATTTTAGGCCAAATTTTTACATGGCATGGGGATATACAGTCTGGTGGTAGATAGGCCTAGCCTAGATAGTCCTTTACAGGTATCACTATCAAAATCAGAAATCATACTGCAATTTTATGCTTGGATCTGGATAACACATCAGTAAAAACCTAAACTCCTCTTGCTTGGGACCAGGTCGTTGGAGAATTTAATTTCATTTTATTCAGGAATTAATATCGCATCGGCCTAGGCCTAGGCTAGGGAAAAAGAAAAAGACGTCCTAGCCTAGGCTAGGCTAGGTCTTTTTCTTGTAGAATACAAAACAAAAACAAAGAATAGATAATAAAGAACAAAAAAAACCCACACCAATCCTTATCATTCATTAAAATCTAGGTAAATCCTGGCTTAGCCTAGGCCCCTAAGCTAGTTAGTTAGCAAGACTAAGTTAGCTGGCCTCGCCTAAAAAAGCGCGCTTTCCTGCTACTACTACTACTAGCCTAGGCCTAGTAGTACTATACCAAAAGGCCTAGGCCTACCCTATCCTAGGGTCGTGACAAAGTGCGAGCCAGCGAGTCATGCGAGCCAATGAGCGAGCCATGCGAGCCAGCGAGCCATGCGAGCCATACATTTTTAAGTTATAAAATTATAGCAGTTTATGGCCTAATAAATATAACTAGAGTTACAGGCCAAGGCTTAGGCCTAGGTTAATTTATTATTTAATTAACTGTAAAAATAATAATATTTCGTCTCCCTCTGGACAAGACACTGTAGGCGTCAAAC